GCTTTGGAGATGCCACATCAGCAGGCAGAACACATGGGTTTGGGAGCTCAGGATGGCAGTGGAAGTGGCCGTGCCTGACATGCACTGAAAGATGAATTGAAACTCTCAAAAAACATGGCAAGGTCCTAAACCCCAGCACTTGCAAAATGCAAATGCAACTTTACTATGAAATGTGGTCTTTGACTATGTCATCAAATTTTATTTGATATTGGATTAGGGAAGTCCCCAATTCATGACTTGTCTCCCAGTAAGAAGTAAGCAATTTGTATACAAAGTCGGCATAGACATACAAGAAAGGGAAGATGTCACTGAAGATGGAAGCTGAGCCTGCAAGGAAGCTGCCGCAAAGCAAGCGATACTGAAGACAGCTGAAAGTCACTGAAGCCTCAGGAGGAGGGGAAAGATGGCTCCTTAGGAGGCAAGGAAGGATGGCTCCTTAGGAGGCAGGGAAGGATGGTTCCTTAGGAGGCAGGGAAGGATGGTTCCTTACGAGGCAGGGAAGGATGGTTCCTTAAGAGGCAGGAAGGATGGTTTCTTAGGGACTTTGAGAGAACATGGCCTGAGGACAACTTGCTCTCCGATTGCAACCCTGCAGAACTGTGATAGAATGAATCTCAAATGAGGCAGTTGCTATGACAGCCTGGGGGAAATTGGACCATCAATTTCACTGGTTCACTTGGGGACTCCCTTGTTCTTCCTATCCCTGAAAGTCTGGTTCTGCTGGTTTAAAAATCTCCAAAGAGGACACTTTCGCTGTGAAAAGAAGGAGAGGCCCCACTGAAATGTACGCTATAGTTTTTACCTGGCTACTTGAAGTTCCCAGCTAATCACCAGTCATTAAGAAAAGCATTATCATTTCAGCTAGGCCAGAGGACCCTGGTCACCAGACAGTCAGGCTAGTGTGACCTGATAGCAGGGGGAAGCCAGGGGTCTGCTGAAGTCCTGTTTGCCTGAATATTATGGTAAGTGGATGAGGATGAACAATCCTGGTTTGAGAGGGGCACAGAGGTTAGGAGACCCAGACCTAGGAATAAAGTCGTAATGATATCACAGATTAGTTACCAGGAGCAAAAAAATATCTAAGCTGGGAGGAAAACTCATCTACAATCAGAGCAGGCCCTGATCTAATGACTGCTTCTTCTAAATGATCCCCCCTTGCGTTCCATAGGAGCCTCTTCCAGTCCTTACACAGCTAGTATCTGAGGGACACAGGCAAGGACTGCAGAGGATGCTTCAAGAGCTGCCCCCTCAGAACCCCTGTCCAGAATAACCAGCTCATTGCACAGTTGCTGAGCCCTGCAGAAGACGTTCCTGAACTCTCCACTCAGATCATCATCAACTTTTTGCTAAAGAAAATGCCAATCAAGGTCATGTCACCTTGAAGGGGCAACCTACATCTTAATGATATAAAAATATAAAATTGTTTACATCGCCCTGAACCTGTTTGCCTCATTCTGCACAGACTCTAGACATGCCGAACATTTACGAAATAAATTAGGGTAATTAAACAAAGAATAACAGGATAATTGCAGTACTTCATAACCCATGAGGACCAGTGGTTTCTCATCCTGGTGGAATCAGAATCACCCAGAAAAGTGCAAATTATCTTCCTATTCATGATCTGCCTCCCAGTGATTCTGCCTCAATTGATTTATGTGGGGCTGGGCATGGTTGAGTTCCAACACCTTCCTAAGATGATCTCTGTGCAGCCAATATTCAGACCTGCACTTTCTTCTGCCTGGTTCCTCTTCTCTGAAAGCTGTGGCCTCCAGCAATATGCATTCATACCTTCAACCCTGCTCACGTCCAGCCCTTAGAAGGAGAGAATGACACCCTTACTTCTGTTATGCCATTCGTGGCACCACGGGCAACATCATGAGAGCTTACTTTCATGAAGTGCCCAGGAAATTTTCACATTCATCCAGTTGTTCTATTTTTTTGACTTGTTAATGAAGAAACATGTACCCACAAAAGTAAAACCCTCCACATAAATGCTTATCCCAAGGAAAGACACCCTTTGAAATCTCTTCAGTTTACCACCACTTTTGATTACCAAAATGAGTAGTTCTCTACTCAAACTGGGTCTGGATCATCTGTGCTTCTTTCAGAACACTGGGAAATAGTAAAGATTCCTCATTTGGAGCTTTATGACTTTTTATGGAACTCGTACACCTCTTTAAATGTACAACTTTACCATTGACAGTTTTTTAATAAAACAGTTTCCCAGCCTTCTTTACCTATCTGTGGCCATAACTGTAGGCATGTTTCCACTTTCACATCTTATTAACATGAGGTATGAAAGCCAAATGTTTGCTGCAGCTTTTCTTTAAATTATATTTTAAAGTAATACCATAGTTACTGAAAAACTATGCATTTAGGATTATTATTTTCAATTGGCTTTTGCCAAGACTATAAAGGCTGCTGATAAAATAGTATTTTCTTTCCTTCTTTTATTATTATTTAATTAATATTTATTATTATTATTTATTATTATTAAGACAGGGGTCTCACTATATAGCCATAGCCCTGACTGGCTTAGACTCACTATGTAGACCAGACTAGCCTCAAACTTAAAAATTCCACCTGTCTCTGCCTCCTGAGTGATGGCATTAAAGGCATGAACCACCATGCCCAGGTTAAAATAATCTTTTCCATGCACACATTTGTTATTGGTATGAATATTCACTTACTGAAGGCGGACGAGTCACAAATGAAATATTTTTTATAAAGAGATGTTTAGTGCCATCTGTCATATCAGAGTGATTTCAAAGACATAATTTTTAAAAAGGGATTTTTAATAAAGACATAATTTTTAAAAAGACATAATTTTTAAAAAGAGTCTAACAAGATGACTCAGCAGGTAAAGATGTTTTATGCCTAGCAATGCAAGCCTCAAGACTACACACACACACACACACACACACACACACACGCACGCACGCACGCACACACCCACACACTAAAAAAGGAGAGAAAAGGATACACCCCCACACAAAAAAAAGGAAAGAAAAATATATAAAGAAGCTTTCAGAACTGTAAGCTTTGTTTAAAGTTATAAAAGCAAACATTACATTCAACCTTCATCCCTGTCTTATAGAACTTAGGGGATATTAAACATATGTCAGACTAAGGTGATTTCCTCACATCTCCAAAGATCTATTTTTGGTCATTTTTTTCTTTTTCTTCCTTTTCTTACAGAATGTTTATTGCCTACATTAACCTTACCTATAAATCACAGATCTCCAAAGAGAAAGGAAAATGCTTCCTAACAGTCGCCTCAACACAGAAACTTCCCTCTGGTGAATGGATTCTTACAAAGATCTCTTTGTGATAGTTGCAGCTTTAAACTATGGAAACTAAAGAAAATCGGTTTCTTTTAGAAATCAGACTTTAGCAGTCTGCAGCACAAGCAACATTTTCACTTGGCAGTAAGTTTAGCCTTCACACTCCTGACCACTCCTTAGTTACCTCCCTTGACTCTATTTCTCTGCTTCTCTCATTTTTATTAGACTATTAAAATTTACAGTAAAATCAATGTAGGTCTTGAAAATTTGAAAGATAATTCTGTAGGGCACCAGTCAGAGAAACAGACATAACCTGGCATCCATAGCAAGCTTATTTTAGAAGTTGAAGGGCTCATAACTAGAAGAGACCACATAACAATCTGGATGTCTCATCTTTTCTCATAAATCTTTTACAATTTCAGGATTAAAAAAAAAAAAAGTGAGATCTAGGGATGTGGTGTCTCACACCTTTAATCCCAGCACTCAGGAGGCAGAGGCAGGCAGATCTCTGTGAGTTTGAAATCAGCTTAAGTTACATAGAAAGCTCCAGGCCAACCTGGGTTAAATAGCAAAACCTTGTCTCAAGCATCAAACCAACCAAACAAAAGTAAAAACAAAACAGAAACACTCTGTCTCTTTCAGCAAAAATGACCCAAGATCCTGCCTTGTAAACCAATATCATAGCAAGAATCTAACTTTACTCTTAAATTTTTTACATATTTCCTGAGAAAAACTGATACAAATAATAATAAATGGCATCAATTTAGCCAATCAATGATATGAAAAACATTTATCAAACAAGTTTATAAATACATATAACACATAGTCAAGAGTAAAAAAAAATCTGTGCATTTAATTTTTTTGACAGACTCTCATTGTACAGCTGAATCTGGTCTTAAATTAACAATCTTCCTTGTTTAACTTCCTGAATGCTGGAATTATAAGTATGCACCACAATATCCAAAAGAGATCTTAAAATATTTTTATATTTTATTATTATTATTATTTATGTGTATGTGTGTATTGCCTGCATGTAGGTAAGTGCACCCATGTCATGCAATGGCTGTGGAGGACAGAAGAGGTTGTCAGATACCCTAGAACTGGAGTTACAAACAGTTGTTAGCTGCCATGTGGGTGCTGGGATTCAAACCCAGGTCTTCTGTAAGAACAGCCAGTGTTCTTAACTGCTGAGCCATCTCTCCAGCCCCTGATCTTAAAATATTTTAAAAATAATATTTTATTTTCAAATATATTCTGTCATAAAATAGTCTAACCATATAGTTTTAATGGGTATACCAGTTTATTCACTTTAACTTACCTTAATTTCTTTGAATTAACTTATTTCTCTATTATATAAGACGTTCCAAATATATTTAATAAATATTTAAATCAAACATAATTTTTTTTTTGAGACAGGATCTCCCTGTAGCCCCAGCTGTCCTGGAACTCACTATGTAGACCAGGCTGGACTTGAACTCACAGAGATCAACCTGCCTCTGTCTCCTGAGTACTGGGATTAAAGGAGTGCACCATCACGCCCGGCAAAACTATTTTCTTAATAAACATTGCCAGAATAATTATATTATCTGACTACTGTGAAGGGTTTGTCAAGTTAGTGGAAAAAAAAAAAAAAACCTTCACTGTTTAAATTACTTAAAATACTGATAAAGATAAAATAATTTAAGTACCTGAAGCATAAAAAGGTAAACAGCTTACCTTGTGAAAAGAGAACAGGGTGAATTTTAAATCCCCCTCCATTCTTCAGTCGCTGTGGCAGTTGATCAAAATGGTAACTGTCAATGTAAAAGAAAACCTTCAGAGCCTGCCGGCTGCCTTCAGCTTGGTACGTAAGAGGGACATCTGAAATGACATTGAGTGCCATGTTACTTCCTGAAGTCAAGGATATGCTGGACAGTACATTTGGATGATTTAAGAAATAGTTTTTCACTTTTACAAGGACTCCTGAAAATTACTAAGAAGAAAGGTATTAAGAGTGCTCATGTATATCAAGGCCAGGTGAAATGCAAAGTGTTCTGCAGTCAGAGTATTAAACCAGATTCTTGTTAGCTAAGAAACAGACTTATTACTGTGCTGAGTGCAAACTCTGTAATAGGAGACTTTGTTGCACTTTGACATACCAGATGCCTCACTTAACTAAATGAGGAGTTTCACGACACATGGTTTGGATTTACAATCTCCCCGAACGGTTGCCTCATTCATCTCTTAGTAAAAATGAGCCTTTGAGGTACATACTTCCTACACAGAATGGGAGAAGGAGAGTACACAGCAACCATTAAGAAGATCAACATGGGTTTCGTATGTTCCGTTCCCTGAGTACCAGATCAAAACACGCCATCCTTTGCTGAGAATGCCTAGTGCTCATTAGAAACTATCTTCCAAAATTTTATAGCTATTTTGAAATATCCTACATTTAATGACTTAAAAAAATCAGTCAGCTTTAATGACTAAATGCTGTGAGACTGTTTCACACTATTGGAAATTCTCTTACCTTTATACTTATCCATAATAAATAGTCCCATGTAAACTCTTCCTCAAAATGCTCAAACACTTACATACACTAGCTAGTTAAAAATTAAGAGCAAAATGTAG